TGCCTTGGCCTGAGGAAGACCAACACAGGTCGAAACGTAGCATCATAGGCACACAATAGGAAGGCTAAGAATAGTTATCATTGTGAAAAACAAATAAAAACATTCTAAAAAAATTAAAAAACAAAAAAATACAAAAAAATAAAAAAATACAAAAAAATGTAAAAACAGTTATAGTTTATTTTGAGGGTATTTAATCACAGTTTTTGTTAATTAAGAAGTTCAAATAAGAACAAAATCAACATTTTATTTTAAGAAAGGGTTTAAAAACAGTTATTTTATTTTGTATTACAAACAGCATCTCTATAAAAACAATCATAATCTCATTTAAGTAAAATCTTTATAAAAAAAAACAACAAGGAAATCACAATTTTGTTTAAGAAAGAGTTTAATTTCATTTATTTCTGTGGGATAAAATCACAATTTTAATTTAAATATATAAAAATCTTAAAACAAAGTATGATGGCCACTCCACGCAGGAGTGGCTTTGACGGCTGGACGGAGGTCCGCTTTGGCCGTAAAGGCCAGCGCTTCCGCCAGCCATTCCGGGACCGGGGGAACGTGTTCGGTCGAGGGAAGGCCCGTGCATTCCCCGCTCCCTATGGGAGACGGGATTCATTCCCCAAACCTGTCCAGCCAGTGCCTCACTCACATAGGCCGCCACGTGAACCTGGTCCCACTGCTAAACCCTACACCTCAGGGGAGGTGAGGAGACAACCAGCTGACCCAGAATTTGGGCAGCTGGTGAGGAAGATGTTTAGCCTCATTAAAGTAGCGCATCATCTTCGTAATGTTGACCCCAAATCCAGGAAAGTGGAGCCCAAGATTATCACCAGGATGGTAGAGATCTTGTCAACCATGATAAAGCCGGCAGTTCCTACCCCAGAGACTATGGAACTGATTAAGGACAATGCTGAAGCCTGGGGTTACAACACTATTTCCACTTTGGTCAACCACTACGAACTGGGTTTTGATGAAGTCATGTTTGAACTCCAAGAGTTAATGATCCCACAATGGCGAGATGCGTTTGAGGTGGCGGTGCGTTGGGCGAAGAGAAACTTGCCCCGCATCACGGATGAGGCTATAGGCGTAGCATACGCCAGGATTTCAGGATATGTTAAAGATTCGGCCTCAAATGTCGGTGGAGATGAGTCCAAGATCTTTGACATACAACCCCAGCCACCAATCCAACCAGTGAAAATAGTACAGTCCCTTGAGAAGCCGATAGCTCCCAGTCACGAGCTGCAGAAACGACCAACGGCCAAACAGGCCACAGAGGTCAAAAAGGTCAAGCAGGACCGCTCTGCATCGGCATTTGTTCCACGACCTGTAGGGAAAATAGATCAGCCACAACCTATCGCCAAGCAGGCTACAAAGGTCACACAGGTCAAGCAAAACGATGACCACTCTGGAGGGGCAGTTACTCCTAAATTACAGAGGGAACAACGACACATTACACGGGACAGAGATCAAACATTAGGCCAAACAGGGGTCAGAGTCCAGGAGACACACAAGGTCAAGAGTCCAGATCTAGAAGAACCAGACTCAGGGTTTGATGAAGGAGATGTCTTCCTGGACTCATTGGATTTCTCCACTAATTTAGAGCCACCACTGTTTGAAGTAGGGATGTAGGATTAGTTCTAGCCTGGACCCAGGCTCTAACCCTAACCCTAACCCTAGCCCTAACCCTAACCCTAGCCTGGGCCCTAACCCTAACCCTAACCCTAGCCCTAACCCTAACCTGGGCTCTAACCCTAACCCTAACCCTAACCCTAGCCCTAACCCTAACCCTAACCCTAACCATAGGTCTAACCCTAACCCTAACCATAGGTCTAACCCTAACCCTAACCTTAGGGGGTTAATAAATAAATAAATTAATAAATAAATTAATAAACAAATAAATAAATAACATCATATATTGCATGGTAAATCATCTACAAGGGTGCTAAAGGGTTAAAAGAGCAAATACAAAAAGGGTTATAATTTAGTTAAAAAATAAGGAAATTCATTGTATTTTTCTCTGGGAGAGTATAAAAGGCAGAGCAGAGGAGGAAAATTCATTTTCACTCTGACAGCCACCAAGTAAAGACCTACTGCATTTAAACTACTGTTTGCTTTATGTTGTGTGTGCCTTGGCCTGAGGAAGACCAACACAGGTCGAAACGTAGCATCATAGGCACACAATAGGAAGGCTAAGAATAGTTATCATTGTGAAAAACAAATAAAAACATTCTAAAAAAATTAAAAAACAAAAAAATACAAAAAAATAAAAAAATACAAAAAAATGTAAAAACAGTTATAGTTTATTTTGAGGGTATTTAATCACAGTTTTTGTTAATTAAGAAGTTCAAATAAGAACAAAATCAACATTTTATTTTAAGAAAGGGTTTAAAAACAGTTATTTTATTTTGTATTACAAACAGCATCTCTATAAAAACAATCATAATCTCATTTAAGTAAAATCTTTATAAAAAAAAACAACAAGGAAATCACAATTTTGTTTAAGAAAGAGTTTAATTTCATTTATTTCTGTGGGATAAAATCACAATTTTAATTTAAATATATAAAAATCTTAAAACAAAGTATGATGGCCACTCCACGCAGGAGTGGCTTTGACGGCTGGACGGAGGTCCGCTTTGGCCGTAAAGGCCAGCGCTTCCGCCAGCCATTCCGGGACCGGGGGAACGTGTTCGGTCGAGGGAAGGCCCGTGCATTCCCCGCTCCCTATGGGAGACGGGATTCATTCCCCAAACCTGTCCAGCCAGTGCCTCACTCACATAGGCCGCCACGTGAACCTGGTCCCACTGCTAAACCCTACACCTCAGGGGAGGTGAGGAGACAACCAGCTGACCCAGAATTTGGGCAGCTGGTGAGGAAGATGTTTAGCCTCATTAAAGTAGCGCATCATCTTCGTAATGTTGACCCCAAATCCAGGAAAGTGGAGCCCAAGATTATCACCAGGATGGTAGAGATCTTGTCAACCATGATAAAGCCGGCAGTTCCTACCCCAGAGACTATGGAACTGATTAAGGACAATGCTGAAGCCTGGGGTTACAACACTATTTCCACTTTGGTCAACCACTACGAACTGGGTTTTGATGAAGTCATGTTTGAACTCCAAGAGTTAATGATCCCACAATGGCGAGATGCGTTTGAGGTGGCGGTGCGTTGGGCGAAGAGAAACTTGCCCCGCATCACGGATGAGGCTATAGGCGTAGCATACGCCAGGATTTCAGGATATGTTAAAGATTCGGCCTCAAATGTCGGTGGAGATGAGTCCAAGATCTTTGACATACAACCCCAGCCACCAATCCAACCAGTGAAAATAGTACAGTCCCTTGAGAAGCCGATAGCTCCCAGTCACGAGCTGCAGAAACGACCAACGGCCAAACAGGCCACAGAGGTCAAAAAGGTCAAGCAGGACCGCTCTGCATCGGCATTTGTTCCACGACCTGTAGGGAAAATAGATCAGCCACAACCTATCGCCAAGCAGGCTACAAAGGTCACACAGGTCAAGCAAAACGATGACCACTCTGGAGGGGCAGTTACTCCTAAATTACAGAGGGAACAACGACACATTACACGGGACAGAGATCAAACATTAGGCCAAACAGGGGTCAGAGTCCAGGAGACACACAAGGTCAAGAGTCCAGATCTAGAAGAACCAGACTCAGGGTTTGATGAAGGAGATGTCTTCCTGGACTCATTGGATTTCTCCACTAATTTAGAGCCACCACTGTTTGAAGTAGGGATGTAGGATTAGTTCTAGCCTGGACCCAGGCTCTAACCCTAACCCTAACCCTAGCCCTAACCCTAACCCTAGCCTGGGCCCTAACCCTAACCCTAACCCTAGCCCTAACCCTAACCTGGGCTCTAACCCTAACCCTAACCCTAACCCTAGCCCTAACCCTAACCCTAACCCTAACCATAGGTCTAACCCTAACCCTAACCATAGGTCTAACCCTAACCCTAACCTTAGGGGGTTAATAAATAAATAAATTAATAAATAAATTAATAAACAAATAAATAAATAACATCATATATTGCATGGTAAATCATCTACAAGGGTGCTAAAGGGTTAAAAGAGCAAATACAAAAAGGGTTATAATTTAGTTAAAAAATAAGGAAATTCATTGTATTTTTCTCTGGGAGAGTATAAAAGGCAGAGCAGAGGAGGAAAATTCATTTTCACTCTGACAGCCACCAAGTAAAGACCTACTGCATTTAAACTACTGTTTGCTTTATGTTGTGTGTGCCTTGGCCTGAGGAAGACCAACACAGGTCGAAACGTAGCATCATAGGCACACAATAGGAAGGCTAAGAATAGTTATCATTGTGAAAAACAAATAAAAACATTCTAAAAAAATTAAAAAACAAAAAAATACAAAAAAATAAAAAAATACAAAAAAATGTAAAAACAGTTATAGTTTATTTTGAGGGTATTTAATCACAGTTTTTGTTAATTAAGAAGTTCAAATAAGAACAAAATCAACATTTTATTTTAAGAAAGGGTTTAAAAACAGTTATTTTATTTTGTATTACAAACAGCATCTCTATAAAAACAATCATAATCTCATTTAAGTAAAATCTTTATAAAAAAAAACAACAAGGAAATCACAATTTTGTTTAAGAAAGAGTTTAATTTCATTTATTTCTGTGGGATAAAATCACAATTTTAATTTAAATATATAAAAATCTTAAAACAAAGTATGATGGCCACTCCACGCAGGAGTGGCTTTGACGGCTGGACGGAGGTCCGCTTTGGCCGTAAAGGCCAGCGCTTCCGCCAGCCATTCCGGGACCGGGGGAACGTGTTCGGTCGAGGGAAGGCCCGTGCATTCCCCGCTCCCTATGGGAGACGGGATTCATTCCCCAAACCTGTCCAGCCAGTGCCTCACTCACATAGGCCGCCACGTGAACCTGGTCCCACTGCTAAACCCTACACCTCAGGGGAGGTGAGGAGACAACCAGCTGACCCAGAATTTGGGCAGCTGGTGAGGAAGATGTTTAGCCTCATTAAAGTAGCGCATCATCTTCGTAATGTTGACCCCAAATCCAGGAAAGTGGAGCCCAAGATTATCACCAGGATGGTAGAGATCTTGTCAACCATGATAAAGCCGGCAGTTCCTACCCCAGAGACTATGGAACTGATTAAGGACAATGCTGAAGCCTGGGGTTACAACACTATTTCCACTTTGGTCAACCACTACGAACTGGGTTTTGATGAAGTCATGTTTGAACTCCAAGAGTTAATGATCCCACAATGGCGAGATGCGTTTGAGGTGGCGGTGCGTTGGGCGAAGAGAAACTTGCCCCGCATCACGGATGAGGCTATAGGCGTAGCATACGCCAGGATTTCAGGATATGTTAAAGATTCGGCCTCAAATGTCGGTGGAGATGAGTCCAAGATCTTTGACATACAACCCCAGCCACCAATCCAACCAGTGAAAATAGTACAGTCCCTTGAGAAGCCGATAGCTCCCAGTCACGAGCTGCAGAAACGACCAACGGCCAAACAGGCCACAGAGGTCAAAAAGGTCAAGCAGGACCGCTCTGCATCGGCATTTGTTCCACGACCTGTAGGGAAAATAGATCAGCCACAACCTATCGCCAAGCAGGCTACAAAGGTCACACAGGTCAAGCAAAACGATGACCACTCTGGAGGGGCAGTTACTCCTAAATTACAGAGGGAACAACGACACATTACACGGGACAGAGATCAAACATTAGGCCAAACAGGGGTCAGAGTCCAGGAGACACACAAGGTCAAGAGTCCAGATCTAGAAGAACCAGACTCAGGGTTTGATGAAGGAGATGTCTTCCTGGACTCATTGGATTTCTCCACTAATTTAGAGCCACCACTGTTTGAAGTAGGGATGTAGGATTAGTTCTAGCCTGGACCCAGGCTCTAACCCTAACCCTAACCCTAGCCCTAACCCTAACCCTAGCCTGGGCCCTAACCCTAACCCTAACCCTAGCCCTAACCCTAACCTGGGCTCTAACCCTAACCCTAACCCTAACCCTAGCCCTAACCCTAACCCTAACCCTAACCATAGGTCTAACCCTAACCCTAACCATAGGTCTAACCCTAACCCTAACCTTAGGGGGTTAATAAATAAATAAATTAATAAATAAATTAATAAACAAATAAATAAATAACATCATATATTGCATGGTAAATCATCTACAAGGGTGCTAAAGGGTTAAAAGAGCAAATACAAAAAGGGTTATAATTTAGTTAAAAAATAAGGAAATTCATTGTATTTTTCTCTGGGAGAGTATAAAAGGCAGAGCAGAGGAGGAAAATTCATTTTCACTCTGACAGCCACCAAGTAAAGACCTACTGCATTTAAACTACTGTTTGCTTTATGTTGTGTGTGCCTTGGCCTGAGGAAGACCAACACAGGTCGAAACGTAGCATCATAGGCACACAATAGGAAGGCTAAGAATAGTTATCATTGTGAAAAACAAATAAAAACATTCTAAAAAAATTAAAAAACAAAAAAATACAAAAAAATAAAAAAATACAAAAAAATGTAAAAACAGTTATAGTTTATTTTGAGGGTATTTAATCACAGTTTTTGTTAATTAAGAAGTTCAAATAAGAACAAAATCAACATTTTATTTTAAGAAAGGGTTTAAAAACAGTTATTTTATTTTGTATTACAAACAGCATCTCTATAAAAACAATCATAATCTCATTTAAGTAAAATCTTTATAAAAAAAAAAAAAAAAAACAACAAGGAAATCACAATTTTGTTTAAGAAAGAGTTTAATTTCATTTATTTCTGTGGGATAAAATCACAATTTTAATTTAAATATATAAAAATCTTAAAACAAAGTATGATGGCCACTCCACGCAGGAGTGGCTTTGACGGCTGGACGGAGGTCCGCTTTGGCCGTAAAGGCCAGCGCTTCCGCCAGCCATTCCGGGACCGGGGGAACGTGTTCGGTCGAGGGAAGGCCCGTGCATTCCCCGCTCCCTATGGGAGACGGGATTCATTCCCCAAACCTGTCCAGCCAGTGCCTCACTCACATAGGCCGCCACGTGAACCTGGTCCCACTGCTAAACCCTACACCTCAGGGGAGGTGAGGAGACAACCAGCTGACCCAGAATTTGGGCAGCTGGTGAGGAAGATGTTTAGCCTCATTAAAGTAGCGCATCATCTTCGTAATGTTGACCCCAAATCCAGGAAAGTGGAGCCCAAGATTATCACCAGGATGGTAGAGATCTTGTCAACCATGATAAAGCCGGCAGTTCCTACCCCAGAGACTATGGAACTGATTAAGGACAATGCTGAAGCCTGGGGTTACAACACTATTTCCACTTTGGTCAACCACTACGAACTGGGTTTTGATGAAGTCATGTTTGAACTCCAAGAGTTAATGATCCCACAATGGCGAGATGCGTTTGAGGTGGCGGTGCGTTGGGCGAAGAGAAACTTGCCCCGCATCACGGATGAGGCTATAGGCGTAGCATACGCCAGGATTTCAGGATATGTTAAAGATTCGGCCTCAAATGTCGGTGGAGATGAGTCCAAGATCTTTGACATACAACCCCAGCCACCAATCCAACCAGTGAAAATAGTACAGTCCCTTGAGAAGCCGATAGCTCCCAGTCACGAGCTGCAGAAACGACCAACGGCCAAACAGGCCACAGAGGTCAAAAAGGTCAAGCAGGACCGCTCTGCATCGGCATTTGTTCCACGACCTGTAGGGAAAATAGATCAGCCACAACCTATCGCCAAGCAGGCTACAAAGGTCACACAGGTCAAGCAAAACGATGACCACTCTGGAGGGGCAGTTACTCCTAAATTACAGAGGGAACAACGACACATTACACGGGACAGAGATCAAACATTAGGCCAAACAGGGGTCAGAGTCCAGGAGACACACAAGGTCAAGAGTCCAGATCTAGAAGAACCAGACTCAGGGTTTGATGAAGGAGATGTCTTCCTGGACTCATTGGATTTCTCCACTAATTTAGAGCCACCACTGTTTGAAGTAGGGATGTAGGATTAGTTCTAGCCTGGACCCAGGCTCTAACCCTAACCCTAACCCTAGCCCTAACCCTAACCCTAGCCTGGGCCCTAACCCTAACCCTAACCCTAGCCCTAACCCTAACCTGGGCTCTAACCCTAACCCTAACCCTAACCCTAGCCCTAACCCTAACCCTAACCCTAACCATAGGTCTAACCCTAACCCTAACCATAGGTCTAACCCTAACCCTAACCTTAGGGGGTTAATAAATAAATAAATTAATAAATAAATTAATAAACAAATAAATAAATAACATCATATATTGCATGGTAAATCATCTACAAGGGTGCTAAAGGGTTAAAAGAGCAAATACAAAAAGGGTTATAATTTAGTTAAAAAATAAGGAAATTCATTGTATTTTTCTCTGGGAGAGTATAAAAGGCAGAGCAGAGGAGGAAAATTCATTTTCACTCTGACAGCCACCAAGTAAAGACCTACTGCATTTAAACTACTGTTTGCTTTATGTTGTGTGTGCCTTGGCCTGAGGAAGACCAACACAGGTCGAAACGTAGCATCATAGGCACACAATAGGAAGGCTAAGAATAGTTATCATTGTGAAAAACAAATAAAAACATTCTAAAAAAATTAAAAAACAAAAAAATACAAAAAAATAAAAAAATACAAAAAAATGTAAAAACAGTTATAGTTTATTTTGAGGGTATTTAATCACAGTTTTTGTTAATTAAGAAGTTCAAATAAGAACAAAATCAACATTTTATTTTAAGAAAGGGTTTAAAAACAGTTATTTTATTTTGTATTACAAACAGCATCTCTATAAAAACAATCATAATCTCATTTAAGTAAAATCTTTATAAAAAAAAAAAAAACAACAAGGAAATCACAATTTTGTTTAAGAAAGAGTTTAATTTCATTTATTTCTGTGGGATAAAATCACAATTTTAATTTAAATATATAAAAATCTTAAAACAAAGTATGATGGCCACTCCACGCAGGAGTGGCTTTGACGGCTGGACGGAGGTCCGCTTTGGCCGTAAAGGCCAGCGCTTCCGCCAGCCATTCCGGGACCGGGGGAACGTGTTCGGTCGAGGGAAGGCCCGTGCATTCCCCGCTCCCTATGGGAGACGGGATTCATTCCCCAAACCTGTCCAGCCAGTGCCTCACTCACATAGGCCGCCACGTGAACCTGGTCCCACTGCTAAACCCTACACCTCAGGGGAGGTGAGGAGACAACCAGCTGACCCAGAATTTGGGCAGCTGGTGAGGAAGATGTTTAGCCTCATTAAAGTAGCGCATCATCTTCGTAATGTTGACCCCAAATCCAGGAAAGTGGAGCCCAAGATTATCACCAGGATGGTAGAGATCTTGTCAACCATGATAAAGCCGGCAGTTCCTACCCCAGAGACTATGGAACTGATTAAGGACAATGCTGAAGCCTGGGGTTACAACACTATTTCCACTTTGGTCAACCACTACGAACTGGGTTTTGATGAAGTCATGTTTGAACTCCAAGAGTTAATGATCCCACAATGGCGAGATGCGTTTGAGGTGGCGGTGCGTTGGGCGAAGAGAAACTTGCCCCGCATCACGGATGAGGCTATAGGCGTAGCATACGCCAGGATTTCAGGATATGTTAAAGATTCGGCCTCAAATGTCGGTGGAGATGAGTCCAAGATTCTTTGACATACAACCCCAGCCACCAATCCAACCAGTGAAAATAGTACAGTCCCTTGAGAAGCCGATAGCTCCCAGTCACGAGCTGCAGAAACGACCAACGGCCAAACAGGCCACAGAGGTCAAAAAGGTCAAGCAGGACCGCTCTGCATCGGCATTTGTTCCACGACCTGTAGGGAAAATAGATCAGCCACAACCTATCGCCAAGCAGGCTACAAAGGTCACACAGGTCAAGCAAAACGATGACCACTCTGGAGGGGCAGTTACTCCTAAATTACAGAGGGAACAACGACACATTACACGGGACAGAGATCAAACATTAGGCCAAACAGGGGTCAGAGTCCAGGAGACACACAAGGTCAAGAGTCCAGATCTAGAAGAACCAGACTCAGGGTTTGATGAAGGAGATGTCTTCCTGGACTCATTGGATTTCTCCACTAATTTAGAGCCACCACTGTTTGAAGTAGGGATGTAGGATTAGTTCTAGCCTGGACCCAGGCTCTAACCCTAACCCTAACCCTAGCCCTAACCCTAACCCTAGCCTGGGCCCTAACCCTAACCCTAACCCTAGCCCTAACCCTAACCTGGGCTCTAACCCTAACCCTAACCCTAACCCTAGCCCTAACCCTAACCCTAACCCTAACCATAGGTCTAACCCTAACCCTAACCATAGGTCTAACCCTAACCCTAACCTTAGGGGGTTAATAAATAAATAAATTAATAAATAAATTAATAAACAAATAAATAAATAACATCATATATTGCATGGTAAATCATCTACAAGGGTGCTAAAGGGTTAAAAGAGCAAATACAAAAAGGGTTATAATTTAGTTAAAAAATAAGGAAATTCATTGTATTTTTCTCTGGGAGAGTATAAAAGGCAGAGCAGAGGAGGAAAATTCATTTTCACTCTGACAGCCACCAAGTAAAGACCTACTGCATTTAAACTACTGTTTGCTTTATGTTGTGTGTGCCTTGGCCTGAGGAAGACCAACACAGGTCGAAACGTAGCATCATAGGCACACAATAGGAAGGCTAAGAATAGTTATCATTGTGAAAAACAAATAAAAACATTCTAAAAAAATTAAAAAACAAAAAAATACAAAAAAATAAAAAAATACAAAAAAATGTAAAAACAGTTATAGTTTATTTTGAGGGTATTTAATCACAGTTTTTGTTAATTAAGAAGTTCAAATAAGAACAAAATCAACATTTTATTTTAAGAAAGGGTTTAAAAACAGTTATTTTATTTTGTATTACAAACAGCATCTCTATAAAAACAATCATAATCTCATTTAAGTAAAATCTTTATAAAAAAAAACAACAAGGAAATCACAATTTTGTTTAAGAAAGAGTTTAATTTCATTTATTTCTGTGGGATAAAATCACAATTTTAATTTAAATATATAAAAATCTTAAAACAAAGTATGATGGCCACTCCACGCAGGAGTGGCTTTGACGGCTGGACGGAGGTCCGCTTTGGCCGTAAAGGCCAGCGCTTCCGCCAGCCATTCCGGGACCGGGGGAACGTGTTCGGTCGAGGGAAGGCCCGTGCATTCCCCGCTCCCTATGGGAGACGGGATTCATTCCCCAAACCTGTCCAGCCAGTGCCTCACTCACATAGGCCGCCACGTGAACCTGGTCCCACTGCTAAACCCTACACCTCAGGGGAGGTGAGGAGACAACCAGCTGACCCAGAATTTGGGCAGCTGGTGAGGAAGATGTTTAGCCTCATTAAAGTAGCGCATCATCTTCGTAATGTTGACCCCAAATCCAGGAAAGTGGAGCCCAAGATTATCACCAGGATGGTAGAGATCTTGTCAACCATGATAAAGCCGGCAGTTCCTACCCCAGAGACTATGGAACTGATTAAGGACAATGCTGAAGCCTGGGGTTACAACACTATTTCCACTTTGGTCAACCACTACGAACTGGGTTTTGATGAAGTCATGTTTGAACTCCAAGAGTTAATGATCCCACAATGGCGAGATGCGTTTGAGGTGGCGGTGCGTTGGGCGAAGAGAAACTTGCCCCGCATCACGGATGAGGCTATAGGCGTAGCATACGCCAGGATTTCAGGATATGTTAAAGATTCGGCCTCAAATGTCGGTGGAGATGAGTCCAAGATCTTTGACATACAACCCCAGCCACCAATCCAACCAGTGAAAATAGTACAGTCCCTTGAGAAGCCGATAGCTCCCAGTCACGAGCTGCAGAAACGACCAACGGCCAAACAGGCCACAGAGGTCAAAAAGGTCAAGCAGGACCGCTCTGCATCGGCATTTGTTCCACGACCTGTAGGGAAAATAGATCAGCCACAACCTATCGCCAAGCAGGCTACAAAGGTCACACAGGTCAAGCAAAACGATGACCACTCTGGAGGGGCAGTTACTCCTAAATTACAGAGGGAACAACGACACATTACACGGGACAGAGATCAAACATTAGGCCAAACAGGGGTCAGAGTCCAGGAGACACACAAGGTCAAGAGTCCAGATCTAGAAGAACCAGACTCAGGGTTTGATGAAGGAGATGTCTTCCTGGACTCATTGGATTTCTCCACTAATTTAGAGCCACCACTGTTTGAAGTAGGGATGTAGGATTAGTTCTAGCCTGGACCCAGGCTCTAACCCTAACCCTAACCCTAGCCCTAACCCTAACCCTAGCCTGGGCCCTAACCCTAACCCTAACCCTAGCCCTAACCCTAACCTGGGCTCTAACCCTAACCCTAACCCTAACCCTAGCCCTAACCCTAACCCTAACCCTAACCATAGGTCTAACCCTAACCCTAACCATAGGTCTAACCCTAACCCTAACCTTAGGGGGTTAATAAATAAATAAATTAATAAATAAATTAATAAACAAATAAATAAATAACATCATATATTGCATGGTAAATCATCTACAAGGGTGCTAAAGGGTTAAAAGAGCAAATACAAAAAGGGTTATAATTTAGTTAAAAAATAAGGAAATTCATTGTATTTTTCTCTGGGAGAGTATAAAAGGCAGAGCAGAGGAGGAAAATTCATTTTCACTCTGACAGCCACCAAGTAAAGACCTACTGCATTTAAACTACTGTTTGCTTTATGTTGTGTGTGCCTTGGCCTGAGGAAGACCAACACAGGTCGAAACGTAGCATCATAGGCACACAATAGGAAGGCTAAGAATAGTTATCATTGTGAAAAACAAATAAAAACATTCTAAAAAAATTAAAAAACAAAAAAATACAAAAAAATAAAAAAATACAAAAAAATGTAAAAACAGTTATAGTTTATTTTGAGGGTATTTAATCACAGTTTTTGTTAATTAAGAAGTTCAAATAAGAACAAAATCAACATTTTATTTTAAGAAAGGGTTTAAAAACAGTTATTTTATTTTGTATTACAAACAGCATCTCTATAAAAACAATCATAATCTCATTTAAGTAAAATCTTTATAAAAAAAAACAACAAGGAAATCACAATTTTGTTTAAGAAAGAGTTTAATTTCATTTATTTCTGTGGGATAAAATCACAATTTTAATTTAAATATATAAAAATCTTAAAACAAAGTATGATGGCCACTCCACGCAGGAGTGGCTTTGACGGCTGGACGGAGGTCCGCTTTGGCCGTAAAGGCCAGCGCTTCCGCCAGCCATTCCGGGACCGGGGGAACGTGTTCGGTCGAGGGAAGGCCCGTGCATTCCCCGCTCCCTATGGGAGACGGGATTCATTCCCCAAACCTGTCCAGCCAGTGCCTCACTCACATAGGCCGCCACGTGAACCTGGTCCCACTGCTAAACCCTACACCTCAGGGGAGGTGAGGAGACAACCAGCTGACCCAGAATTTGGGCAGCTGGTGAGGAAGATGTTTAGCCTCATTAAAGTAGCGCATCATCTTCGTAATGTTGACCCCAAATCCAGGAAAGTGGAGCCCAAGATTATCACCAGGATGGTAGAGATCTTGTCAACCATGATAAAGCCGGCAGTTCCTACCCCAGAGACTATGGAACTGATTAAGGACAATGCTGAAGCCTGGGGTTACAACACTATTTCCACTTTGGTCAACCACTACGAACTGGGTTTTGATGAAGTCATGTTTGAACTCCAAGAGTTAATGATCCCACAATGGCGAGATGCGTTTGAGGTGGCGGTGCGTTGGGCGAAGAGAAACTTGCCCCGCATCACGGATGAGGCTATAGGCGTAGCATACGCCAGGATTTCAGGATATGTTAAAGATTCGGCCTCAAATGTCGGTGGAGATGAGTCCAAGATCTTTGACATACAACCCCAGCCACCAATCCAACCAGTGAAAATAGTACAGTCCCTTGAGAAGCCGATAGCTCCCAGTCACGAGCTGCAGAAACGACCAACGGCCAAACAGGCCACAGAGGTCAAAAAGGTCAAGCAGGACCGCTCTGCATCGGCATTTGTTCCACGACCTGTAGGGAAAATAGATCAGCCACAACCTATCGCCAAGCAGGCTACAAAGGTCACACAGGTCAAGCAAAACGATGACCACTCTGGAGGGGCAGTTACTCCTAAATTACAGAGGGAACAACGACACATTACACGGGACAGAGATCAAACATTAGGCCAAACAGGGGTCAGAGTCCAGGAGACACACAAGGTCAAGAGTCCAGATCTAGAAGAACCAGACTCAGGGTTTGATGAAGGAGATGTCTTCCTGGACTCATTGGATTTCTCCACTAATTTAGAGCCACCACTGTTTGAAGTAGGGATGTAGGATTAGTTCTAGCCTGGACCCAGGCTCTAACCCTAACCCTAACCCTAGCCCTAACCCTAACCCTAGCCTGGGCCCTAACCCTAACCCTAACCCTAGCCCTAACCCTAACCTGGGCTCTAACCCTAACCCTAACCCTAACCCTAGCCCTAACCCTAACCCTAACCCTAACCATAGGTCTAACCCTAACCCTAACCATAGGTCTAACCCTAACCCTAACCTTAGGGGGTTAATAAATAAATAAATTAATAAATAAATTAATAAACAAATAAATAAATAACATCATATATTGCATGGTAAATCATCTACAAGGGTGCTAAAGGGTTAAAAGAGCAAATACAAAAAGGGTTATAATTTAGTTAAAAAATAAGGAAATTCATTGTATTTTTCTCTGGGAGAGTATAAAAGGCAGAGCAGAGGAGGAAAATTCATTTTCACTCTGACAGCCACCAAGTAAAGACCTACTGCATTTAAACTACTGTTTGCTTTATGTTGTGTGTGCCTTGGCCTGAGGAAGACCAACACAGGTCGAAACGTAGCATCATAGGCACACAATAGGAAGGCTAAGAATAGTTATCATTGTGAAAAACAAATAAAAACATTCTAAAAAAATTAAAAAACAAAAAAATACAAAAAAATAAAAAAATACAAAAAAATGTAAAAACAGTTATAGTTTATTTTGAGGGTATTTAATCACAGTTTTTGTTAATTAAGAAGTTCAAATAAGAACAAAATCAACATTTTATTTTAAGAAAGGGTTTAAAAACAGTTATTTTATTTTGTATTACAAACAGCATCTCTATAAAAACAATCATAATCTCATTTAAGTAAAATCTTTATAAAAAAAAAAAACAACAAGGAAATCACAATTTTGTTTAAGAAAGAGTTTAATTTCATTTATTTCTGTGGGATAAAATCACAATTTTAATTTAAATATATAAAAATCTTAAAACAAAGTATGATGGCCACTCCACGCAGGAGTGGCTTTGACGGCTGGACGGAGGTCCGCTTTGGCCGTAAAGGCCAGCGCTTCCGCCAGCCATTCCGGGACCGGGGGAACGTGTTCGGTCGAGGGAAGGCCCGTGCATTCCCCGCTCCCTATGGGAGACGGGATTCATTCCCCAAACCTGTCCAGCCAGTGCCTCACTCACATAGGCCGCCACGTGAACCTGGTCCCACTGCTAAACCCTACACCTCAGGGGAGGTGAGGAGACAACCAGCTGACCCAGAATTTGGGCAGCTGGTGAGGAAGATGTTTAGCCTCATTAAAGTAGCGCATCATCTTCGTAATGTTGACCCCAAATCCAGGAAAGTGGAGCCCAAGATTATCACCAGGATGGTAGAGATCTTGTCAACCATGATAAAGCCGGCAGTTCCTACCCCAGAGACTATGGAACTGATTAAGGACAATGCTGAAGCCTGGGGTTACAACACTATTTCCACTTTGGTCAACCACTACGAACTGGGTTTTGATGAAGTCATGTTTGAACTCCAAGAGTTAATGATCCCACAATGGCGAGATGCGTTTGAGGTGGCGGTGCGTTGGGCGAAGAGAAACTTGCCCCGCATCACGGATGAGGCTATAGGCGTAGCATACGCCAGGATTTCAGGATATGTTAAAGATTCGGCCTCAAATGTCGGTGGAGATGAGTCCAAGATCTTTGACATACAACCCCAGCCACCAATCCAACCAGTGAAAATAGTACAGTCCCTTGAGAAGCCGATAGCTCCCAGTCACGAGCTGCAGAAACGACCAACGGCCAAACAGGCCACAGAGGTCAAAAAGGTCAAGCAGGACCGCTCTGCATCGGCATTTGTTCCACGACCTGTAGGGAAAATAGATCAGCCACAACCTATCGCCAAGCAGGCTACAAAGGTCACACAGGTCAAGCAAAACGATGACCACTCTGGAGGGGCAGTTACTCCTAAATTACAGAGGGAACAACGACACATTACACGGGACAGAGATCAAACATTAGGCCAAACAGGGGTCAGAGTCCAGGAGACACACAAGGTCAAGAGTCCAGATCTAGAAGAACCAGACTCAGGGTTTGATGAAGGAGATGTCTTCCTGGACTCATTGGATTTCTCCACTAATTTAGAGCCACCACTGTTTGAAGTAGGGATGTAGGATTAGTTCTAGCCTGGACCCAGGCTCTAACCCTAACCCTAACCCTAGCCCTAACCCTAACCCTAGCCTGGGCCCTAACCCTAACCCTAACCCTAGCCCTAACCCTAACCTGGGCTCTAACCCTAACCCTAACCCTAACCCTAGCCCTAACCCTAACCCTAACCCTAACCATAGGTCTAACCCTAACCCTAACCATAGGTCTAACCCTAACCCTAACCTTAGGGGGTTAATAAATAAATAAATTAATAAATAAATTAATAAACAAATAAATAAATAACATCATATATTGCATGGTAAATCATCTACAAGGGTGCTAAAGGGTTAAAAGAGCAAATACAAAAAGGGTTATAATTTAGTTAAAAAATAAGGAAATTCATTGTATTTTTCTCTGGGAGAGTATAAAAGGCAGAGCAGAGGAGGAAAATTCATTTTCACTCTGACAGCCACCAAGTAAAGACCTACTGCATTTAAACTACTGTTTGCTTTATGTTGTGTGTGCCTTGGCCTGAGGAAGACCAACACAGGTCGAAACGTAGCATCATAGGCACACAATAGGAAGGCTAAGAATAGTTATCATTGTGAAAAACAAATAAAAACATTCTAAAAAAATTAAAAAACAAAAAAATACAAAAAAATAAAAAAATACAAAAAAATGTAAAAACAGTTATAGTTTATTTTGAGGGTATTTAATCACAGTTTTTGTTAATTAAGAAGTTCAAATAAGAACAAAATCAACATTTTATTTTA